CTATTCCTTGTTGTCTTCTGTTGACGATTAAATCTAATAGCTATCGGTATAGTTGAAGAAAGTTATGAAATAAACACAGAAGAAAGATCCAGATAGCTAAAATAAAATATATTTTCGTTAGTTTCACTATCAGTACATCCAGATCTAAGGGCAAGGCCCAATGTCTTGCTACACTGTGTGACGTGAATCAGCGTGGAATGGTTAAGCGATCTCAGCACGTAATAAGCTACATGTTAGCAAATGCCAAAAACCGAAGAGAAGAGGCGCCGTGACGTGTAGCTATGCGATTTAGTGCCGTACGCGAGCGTCGGTTTGAGTCACGCACGTAGGGCACGCTTTCTTCTCTTTAACTTAGTATCTACGTTACCGTGTAATCAGTCATGTTTACATGCTTTAGTTTCTGTCTAATATCAGATACTATAAGTTTGCAATAATTACACGGTTTATTTTGCTGCACTGTTAATATCCGTTGACTCAATTGGATGGATACACTGTGTGACGTGGTTTGGGGAAGCCGTAGTACACTATCTGTGACACGCAGCTAGACGATTTAGTGCCGTACGCGAGACGCGGTTTAAGTCACACACACAAGACATGTTTGTTTTTTCGTTATGCCTAATGTTCAATCCACTGCGCTTAAAGCGGTTATATATTAGGAAACAGACCATCCACAAATTAAGGTATGATATATTTTAACAGGTTGACAGGCAAATATTTCAATTAAAAATAATGCGTTGTACCATTTTTGTTGCACACTTGTCAGAAAAGACAGGTAGCATATTCACCAAGGTTATAGAAATATTTTATCTATTTATCTGTCTTTATTTATTTTCAAAAAGCCTCCACTTCGAAACATTAAAATGTTTGTTTTATAAAAATATATGTTTACGAGATAAAAGGCAGTATAAGGCAGCCATATCTAAGATATTATCAGCATTAATTTATAATAGAATTCATATTCACGTCCATACCACCAGCAGCGCTTCTTTTTAATTACCATACTTAGCATGTTTGCTACTTACATTACAGCATAATCAATACAAGTGAATATTATGACGTCATTGCAGCCGATTGTTCGCAATACTGTATCCCATTATTTAGCGTCTAGGCCCTGTACCATGGATATATGTTCTCAGGTGTATGTTTCATTCATATAGTCGCATTAAAAGTCTCTTATTCGGAATAGTTTACACCCGCAGGACTTCTAGCCATGTTCGATCTGAACCCTCGCTACGCAGCGGCGATTTGAAGGGGACTAAGTGTACCCGTACCAGCATAGTGCATGTTTATCGTTACAATGCTACTCCACGTACGCCACACATCAATCACTCATCCACTCGCAAATTAAATGATTATAACCATTTTTTTTTTTTTTATTTATTTATTTTTTGTGATAAAGAATTTCAAAAATTACGTTTTCAATTTAGCAGATTCAGGGGCCAGAGACTGTTAAACTGTTTCATTCACTGTGATTTTTTCTCCAAGTTTTCTGTTTTTATACATTCTGAGCGTTAGTTTTGTACTCAACCGAACCATAAAAATCGTAATCCCTATCTTATGCTTTCACAAAAACTATGCAAATTGTCCAGCAATTGCACTTGTACATACAATCACATCTTCAGAAGGTGTTATGACATTTAAAACGACCAGAAGATGCGTTCAACTTTAAAGATCAGCGGTCGTGACACTGTCACCTTTGACGAAACTCGATGATAACCACTGCTGAAATTTCCACGTGTATAAATCAGTGATTTGTTACAGAAGTTCTAAATGATCACGATAAAGGTCGATTGTCGGTAATCGTGACCATCGTATCCCTTTACATTGAAACTCAGACTGAGATTGAAGCAGCAGACTGCCGGTGCGGGGGCGTACAATCAACAGTGTGCAAACACAACTTCAGACTTCTCTGTTTCAGTTGTTAACGTCTTAGTTCACAAAAGGCATACAATAATAACGTCGGTGCGTACGATTTACGAGGGTGTAAGTTTCGGTATTTTGTAAAAACCTCGAAATATATAGTACGCATTAAAATGTACACAATTGAATGCGTGCAATGTGTATATTTGAATTTATATTCATATATAATTCATGTTTTTAATTCATATTCAAAAGTCTATAGTATACTATGTAGTGAAGTGAGATAAACCAAGCACTGTCACTGATAGCATTGTTCGTATAAGCTTCCCAAGTACGGACATGATTACAATTCCCGAAACTCCACGCTGTTAGTAAGTTGCATTCATGACAATCATTTGATTCAGGTAGCAATCACAGGCGCTCGGAACGTTTCTTGGATAATACAAATGACCTAAATTAGGGTCGGCATAGTT